ATAACTTAACTTTTCAGACTTAATTCTCTTGAAAGGAAACGATTCAGTGATTATCCTCTTTCTATTGGAGATTTTCAACATTACTTTTGGTCGAAAAATTAAGAATGATCATATATGACCTAATCCTCATCGTCATATCAGAACATAAGTAAGATATATCCTGATACGATAGTTTTTTATTAGTGTAGTTCTAAGGTACGTAAATTTTGCAAAATGTTCTAGCTCAAAGAGATATATATTCCCGTGAAAAAATATTCTGATCAGACTTGTTATGTCCTGATATGGCCATATCAAAATTTTTGATATAATTATATCAGGCCTGATATTATCTGATATGTCCATGTATAATTTTTGGTAGGTTCTGATATAACCTGATATGACCTGATATGCAAATTGGCCATATCAGGCCTGATAGTGCTTGATCAGGCTTGATATGGCTTGATCTGGTTTGATATAATTTGATCTGGGCTGATATAATTTGATATATTTATAGATAATTTATTGATATATTCTGATATGGCTTGATATAATTTGATATGCCCGTTTTCTTATTTTTTGATATGTTCTCTGATACAATTTTATCAAGCCGGATCTGACTTTTAATAGTATCAAATAAAGCCAAATCTGAGTGATAATTTTGTTATACAGTCACTAGGTTTTTTAAGTCTAAGAATCGGCAAATTTACATTTTTAAGTTTTTTTAATTAATATATTTTATGGCAGATTTACGGTATAAATTATAAAAAAGATAAAATGTATAAATTTAAAAAAAAAATTTCGAAGTTGCTCTAAAAACTCTTTATTTAATTTTGTACTCTTCAATTTTTTCCCAAAATATATTTTAATTGAGAAATTGATATTTTAGAATTTTTTATTTATAAAATTTATTTTTTGATCAATTAAGAAAAAATAAATGAATTTTATATATTTTTCGAATTACTCAACATTTTTAAGAAACTTTAAAAAAAAAAAATTACTGTTGTCGTAGAATCAATCGGCTACGGTTTTTTATCTGGTTTAAAATTTACAAAAAGTAAATTTTTTTTTTTTATTTTTTAAATACAATATGAAATTGATATTATTATTGTTTTTCATGCAATATTATGTCAAATGAAAAAATCTTTTGTGTATTATTTACGTTTTTATCATGAAATTTAATTTTCAGTTATTTATTGATGTATTATTAAAATTATTTGAAAATTTTGGAAAAAATTGAAATAATCGATGAAAAATTATAAATCTGACAACATATTAGTTAGTTACTAAGACTTCACCATGGAGCAATCACATGTTCCGCACTGTCGAAACTAGTATTAAAAGTCTTCGGTAGATGGCGCATGGTCGCGGAATTGTTCTTTTCTAGATACTTGACTTTAAAGTTTTAAGTTCCAAAAAGAGTAGAAAGTTTTTTTACTCTATTACAGAGTTTACCTGTTTTTGAATAAAGTTGGACAAACAACTAAAAATCCTAAAATAAATTTCATATTAACTACGAATTAGTGTTATAATTATTTTTTAAAAAACAAAATAAAATCAGAAATGATAAATTTTATTTCTCTTTCTGGATTGTCTACATCTTAATATGGCCATATCAGCCCTGATCAGGCCATATCAAGTCTGATATGGCCAATTTCTATATCGGGCCTGATATGGACGGTCCATATCAGGCCATATCAGGTCTGATCAGAATATTTTTTCACGGGTCCGTGGCTGTAAGCCCTTTAATGTACGGAAATTTTAAATGAAATAGAATTTTTATAATTTTCCGTGATTCTAAGATCTACGAGACACGGAAAAATAGATCAAATTATATTATTAAGCTATGGGACACGAAAACTATTTGAAACAATGGTATCTTATGCTGATGTCTGATCTTACAGTTACAAAAGAGCAATGAAATGCATTTTATATTGATATCCGAGGTTGTGAACCCTTCAAGCCACGAAAATTTGAAGTGAAATTGAATTTTTATAATTTTCCGTGATTCTAACATCTACGCGACACGGAAATAGAGATCAAATTATATTTATTTTTGTTTTTTTATTTCAACACATAAGATACACGGAAATTCATACTATTCAATAAGATGTCTATAATTTATGTAGTTGTCTAAGCTTTAAGACACTAAAAAAATTAAAAACAATTCAATTTTATGCTGATGTCTGATTTTACAAATACGAAAGAAGGATGAAACACACTTCATATTGACATACGTGGCTGTAAGCCCTTCAAGGTACGGAAATTTTAAATGAAATAGAATTTTTATAATTTTCCGTGATTCTAAGATCTACGAGACACGGAAAAATAGATCAAATTATGTTATTAAGCTTTGGGACACGAAAACTATTTGGAACAATGGTATCTTATGCTGATGTCTGATCTTACAGTTACAAAAGAGCAATGAAATGCATTTTATATTGATATCCGAGGTTGTGAACCCTTCAAGCCACGAAAATTTGAAGTGAAATTGAATTTTTATAATTTTCCGTGATTCTAACATCTACGAGACACGGAAATATAGATCAAATTATAGTTATTTGGGTTTTCTTATTTCAACACATAAGATACACAAAAATTTATACTTATCAATAAGATATCTATGATTTATGCAGTTGTCCAAGCTTTGGGACACGAAAACTATTTTTAAAAAATAGAATCTCATGCTGATGTCTGATTTTACAGATACAGAAAAGCAATAAAATGCATTATACATTGATATTTGTAGCTGTAAGCCCGTTATGCTACGATAATTTAGAATGAAATAGAATTTTTATAATTTTCCGTAATTTTAAGATCTTCTAGACACGGAAATATTTATAATAAGAAACTCTATTTCTATTCCCGTTTCTCTGAAATCTAAGAGCTATGGAAAATTTGAATAAAAAATAATTTTCATTATTTTCCGTGATTCTGAGATCTTCGAGACCCGAAAAAATAAATTAAATGATTTTTTTTTCCTTTTTTCACTTGGATTCATGAGAAACACAAAAATTTATACTTATCAATAAGATATCTATGATTTATGGAGATTTCAAAACTTTAAGATACGAAAAAAATTTAATCTTATGCTGATGTCTAATCTCACAGATACAAAACAGCAATGAAACGTATTTTATATTTATATCCCTGGCTGTAAGCCCTCCAAGGTACGGAAATTTTAAATGAAATAGAATTTTTATAATTTTCCGTGATTCTAAGATCTTCGAAACACGGAAAAATAGATTAAATGATTCTTACTTAACTTTTTTCACTTGGATCCATGAGAAACACAAAAATTTATACTTATCAATAAAATATCTGTGATTCGTGCAGATTTCAAAGCTTTAAGATACGAAAAAAATTTAATCTTATGCTGATGTCTAATCTTACAGATACAAAACAGCAATGAAACGCATTTTATATTGATATCCGAGGTTGTGAGCACTTCAAGGTACAGAAATTTAGAATGAAATAGAATTTTTATAATTTTCCGTGATTCCCTGATCTTCGAGACACGGAAAAATAGATTAAATGATTTTTACTTGACTTTTTTCACTTGGATTCATGAGAAACACAAAAATTTATACTTATCAATAAGATATCAATGATTCGTGCAGATGTCAAAGCTTTGAGACACAAATAAAATTGAATCTCCTGTGATGTCTAATCTTACAGGTACATAAAAGCAATGGAACGCATTTTATAATGATATCAGCGGCTGTAAGCCCTTCAAGCTACGGAAATTCAAATTAAAATAAAATTTTCATAATTTTCGGTGATTCTAAGATGTTCCAGGCATGGCAAAATTCATAAGAAGAAACTTTATTGCTTTTTCCGTTTCTCTCAATCCTAAGAGCCATGGAAAATTTGAATGAAAAATATTTTTCATTACTTTCCGTGATTCGAAGATCTTCAAGAGACGGAAAATTAGATTAAAGTATTCTATGAAGCTTTGGGACACGATAACTATTTGAAAAAATAGAATCTTATGCTGACGTCTGATCTTACTAATACGAAAGAGCGATAAAATGCACTTTATATTGATATACGTGGCTGTTAGCCCTTCGAGCTACGGAAATTTAAAATGAAATAGAATTTTTATAATTTTTTATGATTTTTAGATCTTTTAGACACAAGAAAATAAAAAATAATTTTTTCCTTATTTCCGTCTTTCTAAAATCCAATAGCTCAGTATATTCATGATAGAAATTAATAAAATTCTTTCGACAACGTCCGAGCCAACGTAGAAGGCCTGAAAAAATTATCTCGAGCTGAAATCAATGATTTACTATTGTCTGTGCCCGTTGTGCTCTTGAAAGTTCGGAGACAGGTATATCATTTTGAAAATCAGTCATTCTAATCGTGATTGTCCGTGCCTCTAAGTGCTTAGAAATTGGAATAATAATAGACGTGTTCTATTGTTTTCTGGTGGTCTAAAACAATTTATTTTTTCAATATAATTTTAAAAGTTCCTTTTAAATACCAATTCAGAAAAGTTCCACAATTTTCTATTATCTATTGTGAAGATAGATGGAATTTCTCAAAAAATATATTAAAAATCAATAATTCATGGAAGTATTAACAAATAAAATTTTACTTTTTAAATTATATTTTCAACATTTAAATATGGATTTTATTTTATTGAATACTACTAAATATGTCTATTAAATACTTATGAATACGTGAACTGCTATTCATATTGAAATCTAAATGTTGATTAGAAGTAAGTTATCCCTGATTACTTTCATACAGAAAACGAGAATACAGAATAAATATTAGATGCGTTGGCTTATCAATCTTACAAAAAAAAAAAAAGTAATTATGGATGCATTTGACAAATAATTTTAACAGAAGTACTTACATAACTCTTCATATAACTTATACTCAATCGCAGTGCAATGTGATAAAATAATTCAGTTTTACTATAAAGAAAGAAAGCTTGATGAAAAATAGAACGAAATATGTAACATGAAGAGAAACTTCAAGTCTGTAAAACTATCTTAAATCTACGTATAAAAGTA